AATTTTCCTTACCCATGGTGCTTCGCGCGCTAAAGCTCCGCTAAAATGACTACTGTTGCCCTTAGACCAAAAGCGTTTTCAAGAACTCGTATTCAAGACATTTAAGATTCGTAAACGCAATGGTTTCGTTGACCGCCAGCAGGTCAGATCGAGTATTTTTTCTTCAAACTAGAGCTTCTCATGTCTAGACGATGAGTACAACTGTGAATGAAATCAACAACGATATAGCAAAGGTAACAGATGAATGTATTTTGCGTACAGTTTCGCTTGCTTGTTTTATTGCCTAACTCGATGAGTAAATTGATTCAAAATCGATGAATACGAACGGACAATCGCCTCTGTGGTTCCTTGTTTTAGTCCTTCCGTTAATTTGTAGTTCTTGATATTCACCGTTGAAAATTATACTATAACAGTTATTCGTGAATATTTACCGACACAAAGTCAATTATTGTCTGTAGTCTGGCTCCAAAATTACGTAATCGTCTCACCGTCATGATAGTACAGATAATCTGCCGTTTTATCGCCATAATATACTTTATATTATTTTATCTAATCTAAGAATATTCACAATAAAAATAAGAATATTCAGTCTGGGCTTGAGAAAAAAAAAAGTTATATCGCTAGCTCAAGAAGGTTGTTGCTTGTGTTATCTGCAGTGTTGAAAATTGCGTCAATCATGTTGCGCGAAGTAAAAAGTTTTGCTACTATGTTGTACGACAAGTTGAAAGTAGAATTTGCCGATATTACTCCGCGTTAACAAAAATTCCGCAAAAGTCTAATCAAGGTAAATATATATATAGTTTTTTTAACTCGCGCGATGCATGATAGTTTATGGTCACATTTACCTTTCTTTTAAGATATTTTGTAGCTGCGTGTGGTTTTTCTGTAAATTTTCTGTGTTGTTAATCAGCGATGTCAGCTGCTCTTCGTAGTGCTTCCGCAACTGGAAAATCCTATAACATTGACGAAATATAGTATTGACAATGGATCATAATATGGAGTCCCTTAAAGCCTAATACCAGAAATAGTCAGGGCAGCATCAATTCAACTGATAGATATCAACAACTCACAAATGGCATAAATGATACAAATTATGATATTTTCAGTGCTTGATATCGTTTAATTCACTCGTTTTTAAAACCACAAGCTAATATATAGATTTAGCCAAGCCTAAAGCTAACTCAGGATAAGGTAGAATTTT